CTGTGGGAGCCCCCACCCTCTGGAACGAACTGCCCCCAGAGATCAGGGTGATCCCTGATCTCCCTTCCTTCCGCCGCGCCCTCAAGACGTGGCTGTTCCAACTAGCGGGACTGGCCTGAGGGATTTTAAAGGGGGGTTTAATTACTTTTAAATTGGACATATTTAAATATTTCGTTTTAATCAAATTTTAATTAAGTATATGTATATATGTTAGTATTTTATTCAATTGTCAGCCGCCCTGAGTCCGTAAGGAGAAGGGCGGGATATAAATGCAATTAATAAATAAATAAATAAATTAGGCAAGCAGAGGGTCAACCAGCTGAGCCTCGGTTCCAAAGTCGCCTCTGCGCTCCCGCCTTTGGTGCGCAACCGTCATTTTGGGGACCACGCGGCCAGTGCAGCCTTGCCTTTTAAAAATTTATCGCTTCAGCTGGAGGCCAGCTGATCGGCAAGACTCCAGGCAGCGTGGATATTAATTTTTGGCCCTGATCCGGTGCTCAAGCCCAGCAGGCTCAGGGAGCTCTGCTGGGGCCCCTGCCTGGCGGCCGCCATTTTTTCATCACCCTCAGCCCGGCCTGGCCTCCAGCTAACCCCTCCCAACAAAGGCAGGCCGCATAGGAATGAATTAGACCAGGGGCCCTCCTCCACTAGCAATAGAAGCTTAACCGGTGCAGAGCTCCTGCAGGTAGTATCTATCCCTGAATCTTCCTATTCATCTTCCTTTGAGATACCTATCGAGATCAAGAGGATCCTAGCCAGTGATCCCACAGATCACTGCAGTTAGGCCTTTAGCCATAGGTAAACTTCACAACATCAAAGTGTGCAGGCACTTATCACTAGGGTGATTCGCTGCCACTAACAAAGAGACACGTGTGCCGGCGCTCGCCAAATTGTGGTTTTGGCCGCGCCGTCTGCCTGACCACTGCACTATCATTGCGCTCTCAGGCATCGATAGCCATCAGGAGCATTTTGGTGCACAAGAGGCCATACTGGTCCAGCGGCCACCATAGTCTAGAGCAATTACTGGCTCTGCCAGTATCTGGGATCACAACCATACCCAGCGCTCTGCTCCCATACCCTGAGATCCTTCTCAGAACAACACTGAGGGATCTCAGTCGTGATGGCAGACAGCGCGGCACCTCAGACCGCGCAGGGTGCTCCCGGCACTCCCGTGCCAGGGAACCCCAAGTCCTCCAAGTTGGAGGCTGCAGGAAAGCTTAAGGCTAAGGCCAAAGCTGTTCCTGGTAAGAAACCCTCTAAGGCAGCCGAGAAGGAGGCCAGCAGGAGACACCTAGCCTTAGAGAAGCAATTCTCCAAGGTTCAACAGCTGAACACCAGTGGGATGGTCCATGCTCCCCCGGTCCCACATGAGGGTTCACTATTCAACCCGCAGCTGGCCCCATCCGGCTCCCTAGTTCAACAGGTCTGGTCCCCGGAAGGTGAAACCGGGCAGGGAGAAGGTCTGCCTCTCAACCAGGGGCCAAGCCCCCAATGGGTGGCCTCTTCACCCAGGGTCCAATCGGCACCAGAGGCCACATTCACACCCACAGTGGCCGGACTTCAAGGGCTGTGGCCAGAGCAGCTGCAGGCATTACTCGCTCAAGCGTATGCCCAGGGCAAACCAAGATCTTGGCAGTCCTGGCCGCTCACCTAAGACTGGTCCCATTATGGATCCAATGTTACCTGGACGACATCCTCATCCAGCCACCTCCTTGCAGAGGGCTCGGTCAGACCTGGCCTTGGCCATCAGGACCCTTCAAGACCACGGTTTCTTGGTGAATTTCCAAAAGAGCCAGACAGAGCCTTCAACCCGCCTCCTTCACCTAGACACGATCATAGACACCAATCTCTGAAAGGTCTATCTGTCGCCGGAACATCGGGACAGCATCCGGGCCCTGATCAGGCAGGTACGGAGGGAGTGGGTGGTCACACTGGCCACACTCTCCCAACTGTTAGGAAAAATGGTTTCTTGTATGGGGATAGTACCATGGGCCAGGCTACACTCCAGAACCCTTCAATGGTTTCTGCTCCCATTTCAGAGGCAGGGCACCAGCTCCTCCAACCAGAAGGTAAGGGTCCCGCCTCAAACCCTAGAGTCCAGAGGCTCCTTATTCAAGGAACCAGCCAGGCTTACCCTAACGACAGACACCAGTCTGTTCAGCTGGGGGGCACACCTGCACTCACAGCTAGCTCAGGGCCGATGGTCACAGTCGGACCTCAAACACAACATAAACTGGCTAGAGCTCAGAGCCATACATCTGGCACTGCACCACTTCAGCAACAGGTTGGCGGGATAACATGTCCTAGTGTTCACGGACAACATGGCAGCGAAAGCCCATGTGAACCGGCAGGGGGGTACCTGGTCCAGGCTCCTCATGACCGAGGCCCAGTTGCTGAATACTTGGGCAGAGGCCAACCTCTCCTCCCTCAAAGCAGAGCACATCTCGGGAGAGGCAAACCAGCAGGCAGACTCCTTGAGCAGGTCGACAGTGGATCACTCAGAGTGGCGCTTGCATCCCGATCTATTCAGAGAGATTTTGAAGAGTTTTGGACTTCCAGTGCCGGACCTCCCCGGCAAATGCCCAACTCCCAAGGCTTTTCTCCCAGTTTCCATCTCCAGGGGCGGAACAGGCGGACGCCCTCCACAATCCATGGCCAAAGGGCCTGCTCTATTCCTTTCCCCCTCTCCCTTTGCTCCAGGCCGTTATCCGGAAGATACTACAGGAACGAGCAGAGGTGATATTAGTTGCTCCACACTGGCCGAGATGACCGTGGTTTGCCGACCTCGTGAGCCTTTCCATCTCTCCACAGTGGAGGATTCCCCATTCGTGAGGCATTACAGGCTGGATAGATTTGCCTCTGCGGATGCTTCATTTGGCCGGAGAGTGCTCCAGCAGGTGGTGCCATCAGGCCCAGACCGAATCCCTCCCATAGGGACAGGGTAGCTTTGGTATGTCCCATTCGTAGATTCTCCATCCTCATGCTGGAGAAGGGGCGTTGTCTTACCTGAACGCCTTTTCTCAGCATGATGATGGAGAATCCACACCCACCCCTTTTGGTCTGTCAGGCCTGTGTTAGGGGTTGGAGAGCCAATACATCAGACTATCATCAATAGCTTCGCCTTTGTCGTGTCTGGGAGGCACTAGGGCCCAGCAGGAGGTGTGGCTACTTTGTCAGACTTAGTCTAATTGGGCAGGAAGACAGTCTAAACCCATTCGTGGATTCTCCATCATCATGCTGAGAAAAGGCGCTCAGGTAGGACAACGCCCCCTTTGAATAGTATTACATCTGAAAAATGTGCCATATAAATACTTTACCTCAGAGGTCCCCAACCTATGGGCCGTGACTCACTTCCAGGCCATGGCCTCTTGGCACGCTTACCCCTTGCACCGGCACTAGTGGAGCGACAAGCTATGAGCCTCGCGTTGGTGCCAGCTGAGCCTTATGCCAGCACTAGCCGCGCACTAGTCAAGCTGCGAACCACAAGTCTCGCACTGATGTTAGCCGAGCCACAAGACTCACGCTGGCGCTAGTTGAGCTGTGAGATTTGTGCCGGCACTAACTGAGCTGCGCACATTGCGCCGGCACTAGCCGAGCCGCGCTCCGGCACTAGCAGCCCCATTTGCGGAGCACGTGTGCTTGCGGCCTTGTTCGCGCCACATGCACGCATCCACATTAGCATGTATGCACATGCGTGCATAAAGGTGCCTGCCCCTCTCTTTCCCACCGGGCCGCCAACCCAGAAAGGTTGGGGACCCCTGCTTTATCCTCATGGCCAAATAATAATAATAATAATAATCCATTTATACCCTAAAAGTTCACAGGATAGTTGTTTATGCTGGTCAGAGATGGTTATGCTGGAAACTGGCCTCTCTTTAAAAGTTTCTTGTCAATATTTTTTCTTTGTTGTTGAGATAAATGATGATTGAGTGAATATTTGTGTAATATCCTGTCATGAGATAATTCTCATGGTTACTATGATGGGAATGGGGCATGGCTATGTTCTGAGAAGAGTACAATGCTACTTTCTGTTCCCTGAGCGTTCACTTTCTGGAAAACTACANCTGGCCTCTCTTTAAAAGTTTCTTGTCAATATTTTTTCTTTGTTGTTGAGATAAATGATGATTGAGTGAATATTTGTGTAATATCCTGTCATGAGATAATTCTCATGGTTACTATGATGGGAATGGGGCATGGCTATGTTCTGAGAAGAGTACAATGCTACTTTCTGTTCCCTGAGCGTTCACTTTCTGGAAAACTACAGTTCACAAGGTCATCAGCTTGCAGCCTTTAACTTCCTCCTTGCGTGTCATTCAATGTTTCTTCACTGAGTGATAAACCTTTTGATTATCCATGGGACAAACCCAAACAAAACGCTGATGATACTTCTGTGTAAAGGTCATTATCCTATAGGACGTGCCACATTTAATCATATCCTTTCTTACATTACTGTTTTATTCTTTTATTTTTGAAGGCTTGATGACTAGCAGTTTTTTTTTGTTATGACTTCACATAAGCTAGCAAGAAGCTAATTGTTGGATATATTTTGGGTAAAAATAATGAATACCAAAGGGACTACAGGTTTTTTGTTTTTTTTACAGTTCTTGTAGATTGTCTATTCATGTCTTGATTACAGGATGATAGTTTACCAACATTTCCCCTCTCTTCCCTGATAACTGCATCAATGTTTGTATTTGAAAACTTCACTGTGTAAAATAATACACTCATATTATTATGGTTTTGTTTCTCCTGTAGGAAGGATCAAAATGTTCTTTCTCCGGTCAATTGCTGGAACCTCCTCTTAAATCAGGTGAAGAGAGAGAGCAGGGACCACACTACTTTGAGTGACATCTATCTGAACAATATAATCCCTCGGTTTGTTCAAGTCAGTGAAGACTCTGGACGACTTTTCAAAAAGGTAATGATTTTATTGTGACTTCTTTATGGCTCCAGACATGGCTGAAGCAAATGTAGATGGGCACCTGGCCACTATTGTTTCTTGTCTAGTTGTGTTTAATGCATAACTTGGTTCAAAAGGCAGCTGCCTGGCTGCTGATCGGAGCATGCAGGTTGGAACATGTCACTCTGATGTCATGTTATTTTTCATTTAGCTGCCAATTTGCTTCTGGCTCAATTTATTGTGTTGATTTGAAGAATGTTAAACTCATAATGTGGCAGGGTTAGATATTTTAAAAGTTACTATCTTTTAACATGGAGTCTGCCCTTCTTTTTCTCTGTCTATATAACCAGAGGGATGTCTGCAGAGATCTTTTCTATCCTGGCATCAAGGTTGTGGAATAACTTCCTAAGGAAGGTCCATTGGCTCTCTCTGTGCTTGCTATATTCAGTAGCTGGTGAAAACATATTTTTTTCAGAGAAACATAAGAGAAACAGTTTTCACTGTTTTGAGCTAATTATTAGTAGTCTGAGCTAGTCATAATTGTTCCAAGGCACAGCAACAATTTTGAGTTTGTTGTTACTGATTTAGCAAGTTGCATTGCTTGTTTTCTTTTAATGAGACCTTTCATTCCCTATTTATTCTTTTATGCTCTGATTTCATTTTTTTACTTAATAAAAATACATAAACAATGAAGAATTGAACATACTCACTTTTCATGTTGGGGCCAAATCTAAAGTAGCATTTTATGACCTTGTTTATATATAAGCAAAACAATTCATTTTTGCCATAATCAGCACTAGTGTTAGCAAATGTAGAGACAGCAACGGCATCTGACACAGAGTGTGTTTTCAAAGAATCTAACTGCAGTGATTCACTTAAGAACTGGGGCAAAAGTAAAATGGGGCAAAAGTCACTTAACCAGTGTTTCACTTAATAACAGAAATGTTGGGCTTAATTGTGGTCCTAAGTCAAGAACTACCTGTATTTAGGAAAATAAGATGCTATTTTGAAATTTTGTTCTACTAGACATTGAGGGAAGATTCAAAGGAGGCTGAAAACTAATATGTTTGTTCTTGAGAATAAGATCAATGGGGCTTGCTTATAAGCAAATATGCAGTAAGTGATGGTTGAGTGTTTTTTTAAAAAATCTTCTTTACTAAAATTGTCAGTTTTTCTGGGCCAAGTTGGCCATTGTCAGAGTTCAGTAAAACCCAGAAGGATCACAGTACCTTAATTTCTTAATTGAAGTAACAATGAAATTGCAATAAAAACATAAAAGTACAGTAACTTATCATGGGGATTTAAAATAGGTTTGCTATCTGCATTAAATTTTAGAATAGCTACAATGTAATTTTAAATATAGTATAACTATTTCATTATTTATCTTCTACCTAATAATACATTTTCTTTCTCTCTTCACCCTCCCTGCTCAAATATGCCTAGGCAGGAGCTGTTACTTGTCAGGAAACAAAAAGCATGATTTTAGTATCTAACTAACAACCCTGCCAACTTGGTCAAACGCCAAGACAGTTTCATATATAAACTCGCTTTCGGCTTGTTGTGTGTCGCTAGTCTATAGCTCTTTGTATCAGTCTCTCCTGGGGAATCTTTCCTCAAGTGACATATGATATGTGAAATAGAAATGCTATGTGACTGTACCCATAACCTCTCCTGATTGTCTTCTTTGCTGGAAACTTCCTTTAGTGTTACGATCAATCTGAAAAGTGTGAACTAGCACAAGGCAACTGATAAAGGCCGAGTATCAAAGCTCATAAGTGGCAGATTTGTTAACAAGCAAGTAGCTAACCTGTTTAACTACAGAACAAATTATAAAATGAAGTGACACTAGAGACCCAAGTGTTATGTAGGAAACCTGACTGGGTGACTTTGACCTAGTCAATTTCTCTCAGCCCTAGATTGGAAAGTTGAAAAGCATCTATCTATTAACCTCACTGGAACAGCATAGTAGGTTATGATACATAAGCTTTAGTGAAGGAATCTTCATCCTACAGTGGATTAATTTGGGCTCATAATAGTAATAACAAACATTAGCTGTGTAAAAATGGTTATAAAATCAGGGGAGAACTCTTTGAAGTAATTGTGTCAACCTACATCATAGTTGATTAGCTACAAGTGATCCAGCAATTAAGAAGATTCTAGTTTCATCACTTTATTTGCTTCTTTGCTAATAATTTCCATTTAAAACATATTACCAGTGTAATTTTATAAAATAAGAAATCTGTTGTTGCAGTGAAAATTATTGAAATTTCTCCTGGAGTTTGGCCTGCAAATTAACATTGGTTACTTGTGTAAGGATAAATTAGTACTTGCCGATCAAATAATAACTTTTTTCAACATTTGTAACCATCTCTACTTTAATTTAAGGCAGCGGTTCTCAACCTATGGGTCGCGACCCCATTTGGGGTCGATCGACCATTTCACAGGGGTCGCCAAGCAAGGCTGTCCGCCATTTTTTTTGTCCGCCATTTTTTCCCCCTTTGTGGCGGGTGCCTTACCTCCCTTGGGCTGGGCCAGCTGGTGGTCGGCCTGCTCTGTCTCTGCCGCTTGCCAGCTACGCCTCGGCCGGCGCAGGGGGCGGAACCACGCATGCGCTGCGCTCCTGGGCAGGGAAAGTCCTCGACTTACGACCGGTTGGGTAGTCCTCGCCTTATGACCGGTTGAGTCCTCGCCTTACGACCGGTTGGGGGTCGCGGCATTAAAAAGGTTGAGAACCACTGATTTAAGGAATACAGACATACAAGAATATATGCAAGCAGCCCTTGGAGGTTCTGTTCTAATGTAAAACCAAGAATAAAGAAACCATGAATAATGAGACAGCGGTTCTTTGAAAATTAGGAGGGGAAGGTTCATTCAGCTCAGTTGCAAGGCTATGTGTGTAACGGGCAGTAGGAATAGTCTTGAGGAACAAGAGAAAGAACTTTAACCAAAGAAATTATCGGGTAAAAGACAAATGAGGCTGTGGCAAAAACATAATTTGAGTAAGCATCTCAAACATGATCCTGTGTAGTTCTCATGATAATAAAGGTAGGGAAGGGGAAACCTTGGTGGCCAGATTATTTGAAGGACTATTTTTCCCCCAGTTACATCTATCTGACCTACCAGACCAGGGAGGGAGGTATGCTAAAGATCCCCTCTCTTTAAGGAGCTTCCATTTTGCAGAACCAAGAGGAAGAAGCTTCTCTGTGGTGGCTCCCTTCCTGTGGAACATCTTTCCTACAGAGATCAGATTGGTCCCCACTGTGTGTTTTGGACAATGTAAGACAACACTGCCAAGAAAACAGCATGAATACAATCACCAGAAACTGAGCTTGACTCAAGGGTGTCTTTAGATTTTGTATGCATGAAATCCTGCTCTGCTGAATGAAATATG